ATTTAATGGTATGAGCATCTGTTTTAGTAAATTCTGAGCTGGATGGTCTTAGTAGACTGCTGGTAGAATTTAAAATTACATCACACCCTTGTTTTTCAGACGGTGACTATTATCGGCATTATTAAAAACTGACACTCAAAACTTTCACAATAGATTTGTTGTTAAGAGTTAAGGAATGGTTTTAGGAAAAAATAAGAACCCCAACTCTTCAAAGCAAGAGCCCTTTCACACGGACAATCTTTCTTCCCAGGGCACTGTGTGCTCGGGGACAGAGCGCCGTAGAAATGGACCCAGGAGCACTATCCCTCTGCCCACAGCCCCTGTGATCTAACTAGCACTAAGCTTGGTAGGCCAGAGAATGATGAAAAAAACATAGGGAATATCAAAACCTAAATGCTCAAAAGGCTCTGCAACATCAGACACAGCCGTAAAGCGATACAGAAAAAAAAAAAGAATCACAAAATTCGTGGAGATCTTTGATACATTTTTTTAAATGAGAAACATGTGTTATATAAGTACATGGAAACATACATAATAACGCTGACTAAAAATACAACACAAAATAACTAATATGTAAATACGAATGCATATCCCATTAAACTCAGGTTCCACACAGTACATTTTGGGAAATGCTGTTTTAGATCAGTTCTCAACCAGGGGTGACTTTTGTCCCCCAGGGGACATTTGGCAATATCTGAAGACATTTTTGGTTGTCACAACTGGAAGTGGGGGTCCCAGTGGCATCTGGTGGATAGCGACCAGGAATGCTGCTGACGTCCCACAATACACAGGATGGCCTCCACAACACAGAAGTATCTGGCCCCAAATGTCAACAGTCTCACAGTTGAGAACCCCTGCCCTACAGAATCACAGAAGTGTTTGCGTTTATGCTGCAAAGAATTCTGCTAAAGTACATCCTGGGAGGGAGGGGGGTACACATAAACACACAATTTAAAAGAATGCAAAGCTAAATTCCTAAACTTTTTAATGCAAAAAATTATAAACCTTGATAAAATATCTCAGACACCATACAACAACATATATTGAGAGCTTACCAAGCTCTCATTAAGCATTATTTTTACAAAAGTCTGATCAGACTATTCTGGCTGGAACCTGCATCACAGTACTCCCAATCCATAGTCCCTTCTAAGTGACCCAACCCTACGGCAGACCCCGCTGCAAAAGGGTGGTCGTGTGGAAGGCAGGAGCCCAGCCCTCCCTGAGGGCAGCACCTAGCCCAGGGGTCAGCGCCTGGAAGGTGGGTGGAGGGAAAGAGCTCAGTCACTCTGTCTGGGGTGGACCCTGGGAAACAGGAAGAGGGTGAGGCGGGTAGTGCTGGGCCCCAGGCTGCGGGGAGGAGAGAACTTGCAATCAACAGCGTGCAGAGCAAGTAGACGGTAGAGAGCAACAGTCCAGCTGAACCAGGAAGGCCAGACTTCTGCCAGAGTTCAAACCAGTTCTGTGGGCCCCAAAGCCCAGCACTAGTGGTCCCTGGGATCCAACTAGATTCCTATTTTCCTTATTCCTCGGTAACCCTCAACCCCTGGACTTGAAGTCAGCCTGCTCCCGGCCACCTTGAGACCTGACGAAACAAGCTAATCGTTCTGTACATGTCAGTCACAGATGGCAAACGATAAAAGCATTTCCAGGGAATGTGCCCCACAGCCTCACCAGCACATGGACGGCTGCATTCAGCTAGAGACTGCACAGAATAATAGCACATGCCTTTTGGGTGGTGGGGATCCCCTCAAGCTAAATGGTCTCCCCAGATAGGAGCATGAACAATCCGCACCGAGCGGCTCGGCCACCTGTGACATCAGGAGGCAGCACCTGGTAGCGGGCTGACTGTGTCCAATCATTTAAAGGAAGACTCAAGACAAGAAAATGAATCCGAAATTTTACTCACAAACCCTTAGTCTTGCAACCTGGTAGGTCAGTTGAAGATTTTGAAAACACTGTAGAAACCTTTCCCTAAGGAATCCTAGATTCCCTAAGGAATCGAGATAGAATGAAGAAGCCGCTCTGTCCCCTCGCCACCTCCCTCACTAACCCCACCCTGCCCCCCAGGTCCCCTCAGAACCACAGCACTCCCAAGCCACGGGTTTCAAACTACCTTGTCAAACAGCACGTTTGCTGTGGTATCACACAGCCTTCTGTGAATGAACTTTCCAGAAACAGTAACTAAAGCGGCGGGGCTGACACCCCAAAACAAAGGACGGCTGGTGGTATGGCAGGTGTAGCCTCATTTGACAGGCTCTGCAGCCAGGCCTTGACCAAGTGACTAGGCTTCCCGGCTCTTAAATGTTGATTCTAACAATTTCCAGACTGAACTTTTTCTACTGTATTTCCACGTCCAGGACAAAATAGTAACTGATCCGGTTGTGGCATAAGACGGCACTCCCCAGTTGGCTGCTACAGCTCCCTCAGCCCTGACAATGACCCCAGACTGCTATAATATATATATGTGAGTTCCCTCGTCTGCACTGCTTTTATTCCCTCACCCCCTCAGTCACCATGACAGCCACCTGAGGAAGGAAAACAAGGGCACGTACACATGCCTACTAATGGATGGTGGAGAGTACACGGGCTCCTAGGGCACAGATTCTGACCCTAGCCTCTGTGAAGCTGAATGAGAAAAAACATCACATCTTTATTTGCAATAATCTCTGGCTGAAATTTAGCACTCAATCATGAAGGAAGACATGAAATCCTGGAGTTTCAGCAGTACCTGTGACTTTTTCACCAAGAGAAACTACAGATATTTTCACAAAGCACTAGAGTTACTACAGAAATTTCAAACTGTCAGTTATGCTGGTCACTGCTCCAAAAGGAATCACTAAAGCCCGAACTTGACCTGTTACTAACTGATCTAACAAAGGGCAAGTAAGCAGCTTGAGCATCACTTTGGTTCAGTATTTTAGTAACTGTATTTCAATATAATATATGCGCTCTCTCCTCCATCCTATTTTCTCTAAAACGTTTTGGTGAAGGGCGCCTGGGTGGCTCAGTCGTTGAGCGTCTGCCTTGGGCTCAGGGCATGATCCCAGGGTCCTGGGATCGAGCCCTCCATCAGGCTCCCTGCTCAGTGGGAAGCCTGCTTCTCCCTCTGCCACTCCCCCTGCTTGTGTTCCCTCTCTCGCTCTCTCTGTTTTGATGAGGAGCCCAGAGGCCAGGTGAACCACAAAAAGCCCCCCAGAGGCATAGGATTTACATCACTCCAGCCGTTTCAGGCTTTCTCCCGAACAGCTTCAAATACTTTAACAATTTGCAAAAGTGAAAGTTACAGCTTAGAATGTTGCTGTTCACACCAGTACCTTTCATTCATATGTAGTACCTCTCTAAAGTTGTAATACACTGACACAGAACTGTAAATGTATATAAACCAGTGGACAAGAAGCCAACAAAATGTGTTTGCACCCCTTTATCATTTAACCCCCCAACCTGTAGACACTTAAATCCTCAGCACCGAAGGTCAATCTTTCAAGTCCTGTTTCATCCACACATTTCACCAATTCTAATTCCCACTTTTAAGTCTCCAACGTACGAAGAAGCATCCTTCTACTTCTTCTGCCTACGAAAGTGCTGTGTTAACTCCTATTCTGTGGATTCACTCATTCTACCTTCATGATCCACGTGTCACTCTCCACGCTCAGTACACTAAGGAAACGAAAGGCAGACCTGAGTCAGTCGGCCACCTTCCAGATCACCGTGCGCACAAGTGCATTTGAGTGCATCACCGACAACCGTACTGGCAAACGTTTCCATTTCGCCTCGAATTCTCCCTTCGAATATTCCGAATACACCATCTGAGGCATTATATAATGTATCAACTATGTTGTATTATATAAACATATTAAGTATTTCCTTCTTCAGAATCTGTCAGAAAAAAGTATAAACTCACGCCCAACTAAAGCTAAGGGTGTCATTTACCCTAATGTGGGAGGTACTAACTTCCTAAGGAAAAAACAAACAAACCAGGTCTTACGGAAAACTACTTCTTAGAATCCAAGCGCGCTGCCCTTGCATTTGCCGACTACACCCCAGCTGGCTGCCCAGGCCGTCCTCCCCGGACCCCGCTCGGGACCCCCGCCCCGGCAGGCCAGGCAGCACATGGCCCGGCCCAGCCCAACTGGCCAAGCCTCGGCACCACAGGCACAACTGAGCATTTCCACGGCCGCCGGGACGAAGCAAAGCACACTCAACTTTTCCTAATTCCTGTCAAGTGACTCACGATTTCTTCTGCAGGAATGTGAGATGCCAGCGAGCGGCCGGCCCCTGCCCCGCACCTCCAGGCATCTACTCCCCCCACCCCACCCCACCCCCCGGCCGGTCATTATAGGCCGCACATCTGCGCTAAAGCAATTCCAGGAACCGGGGCACCCTGCCCTCGGGCAGGAGGGCAGCCTCCCCGGAACCCCACCCCCACCCGAGGTCCGCCTCCATGGGGCTCCAGGCGACCCCGTGCCCCCGCCCCGCTCCCGGCCCCGCTCCCGACCAGCCGGCCCCGCCCCGCACCCTGGCGGCCGTGGCTCCGAGCGCGCC